CTTCCAGTAAATTTACTGTAGCACTGCAAAACTTGTGAAGTTTCTCTTTTTTCGCTTGAGCGAAGAAGTTATTGCTCAAGCGGACCCTCTTGATTGTGTCTGGACGCTCGAGCGTGGGAAGTTATGCTCGAGCGGGAAACGCAATATCAGCTTTTTAAATATGGTGATTCTAGATCATTCTCTCATCTCTTTTGTTCCATCTTCCATCTCCTCTTCCTCTCTCTATGAAACCCTAGATTTCTACCTCCTAATACCTCTCATACCTTTGAAATCCACCCAAAATTGCTTGCTAGAGGCAAAGAACACTGGAAGATTATCATTACCTACTGATTGGATTGTGGGTTTGCGATAGATTCATGAAGAAGCTTGGATTTTGGGCTTGATAGTTGAGGTAGGGGCACTTTCATCCTTGCATGTCCTCATTTTTGAAGAGATTTCAAGGTATTGTATGTGATTTGTAAATCAATTAGGAGATTTCATGGTATTGTGTGTGATTTGTGAACTAATTGAATATTTTGTTGGATTAAACCCTCATGTCACATGTTTACTCACTTGCTTAATATTTTGTTTGAAATCTCTCCATTCCTTCTTTAAAATATGAATATAAATGTGGTTAAAATCTAGATTGGTGATAAAGAATAGAAACCCCCAAATTAGGTGAAACCCTAAGTTTCCAAGTTGAGTAGAAGATACAAAACTCAATGGAATTTCTTTTGATTCATGAAACTTTGAGAACAATGGAGAGATGGGAAATGTGGATATTGATATAATTAAAGGAATTATAGCTTGTATGCTATTGTTCTTTGAGTCTTGTGCGATGTTCATATATATCGTAATGTTTGATGTTTGATTTTAGGATTAGAATGTGAATTAATTGCTGAGCATCCATCAGTCCAATGTGTGAGTCGGTTTTGGGTAAATGTGGTGTTGAGTTAGTACCCGCGCGGGGAGTCTAAAAAGGTGCCCAAATGCCTTGTCTAGGCTTATCTCTGGACGAATGTGGAAAAATGTTTTGGGGTGTCCACACAGTCCCGCAGTATAATAGCTGGCGAAAGTTGAAAAATGGATGGTTTTCTTTAGGGTGTCCACGTCCCGTCGTATAATAGCCAGCAAATGTGGGGGTTGTTTTCCAGAAGTGAAAGTAAGGGTTGTTCTCTATTGGACTCATGTAGGTGAATGTGTGACATGATTTCCATGGTTGTGGATGTTTAATTGTTTTATATGATGACATGAATTGTAATTGGCCATGTTATATTATTCGGTTCATTCGGAATTGTTGATGATTATCTGTGAAGATGAATTTTATTGTATCATTTTATCACATAAATACCATAAACTTGTTCAAAGGATTAGATACCTGGATAAATGTATTCCTATTGGGCATATAGCTCAACCCTAATTTATTTTTCAGGAATTGATGAAGTTCAGCCTCATTGAAGGATTGGTTCAAGCATTAGCTCCACTTTCTTTTTGGAAAAAGTTGAAGTTAGAAGCATTTTGGTTGTTTTCCTTTAAATTTGGGATTTTGTAACAGAATTACTATATGTATTTTGTGATGTTGTACACCTAAGGGGCTTATATTTTGTTAATTCATCTAGTTCATTGAACTGAAAAGGGAAATTGAAATATTATGGGAATGTATTTATTAAAGTGTAAACAATTGATTATTAGTTCAATGAGAAAGATGACCTTTTGGGATTTAATGACATCATGTTATTATTGTCCATTATAGTGTGAATTTCCAGGGTGTTACACAATTTTTTTTCAATCATAATTAAAAAATAATAACGAGTCATAACCAAGGGTAATGCTATGGTACATACCCTCAAAAAGGTGTGTACAAAATGTGAGTTATGATATTTGTTTAGTTTTTTTTTAATAATTGAGTGTTTGTACTAGCTTATGATATTTGTGAAGTTGATTACCATAAATGTCATAACTCAATCTTATGAGTCATAACTACGAAAGAAAAAAGAAAAAAAAAAAGAATTATAACCAAACATCAAATAAAATATAACTAAAGAGCTCTTGGAATATAACTAAAATAATATCATAACAAATATCACAATGAGTCATAACTAATACCATAAATTACTTCAGTGGTGGGCTAGTGACAATTTGAGAAAAGTTGAAAGGAAAATCTAGAGAGCCATATCCCTTGCAATACTTCGGTCCATTTGAAAGCACAGAAATAAGTGTGTATTTAATGGTTGCAATCCCAGTTTTAATGAAGTATGTGAACTTGTCAACATTAGAGTTGCTCTTTGGTTTAAGCCTTCTAATAAGATGGCACATTTTTCAGTAAATGACTTTGTAACCTAAGGCAAATGAAGTCTGCTTTGGTGGAAGACCTTTTTGATATGCTTATGTTATTGGGGGCTGTCAAGATTAGCTATTTTTTGTTCTGGTTTGTGTGGCTGAAAACAGGGCAGCCAGAGTGGTTGTTGTTATTTTGATTTTGATTTTTGGTTTCTCATCAATCCTGGTGTGATGTTAGCATATGATTGAATTTGTATGTTGGTGCCAACATAATTAGGATGGATGTGTTAATTATGATACTTCTTGCACTCTCACCTTCCTTCTTTTTATTAATGTAATCCTTGTATGATGTACTTTGCGATTTATCAATAATGTTCTTTTTTAGCAGATAAAAAAAAAAAAAAACAACTAGTGGCATAATGTTTATAAGGAAATCATAACCAACACTCTAATGTCATAACCAAAGACTATACAAGTTGTAATATATGATACACACCCATTTAGAATTTTCCAAGAACAAAACACCACATAAGAAAAGAAAAGGAAAAAAAAAAGGGGAAATAAACATAGAATCAAGGATTAGGGCAGCATCATACCATCAAATTCCAATTCAAATATTCAGCCATGGTCAATAAACATAAAATCGTATATTACCGGCCATACATGCAAATAAATACACAACAATGGATTAGGGCTTTCAAACTAATAAGAGAGAAAGGAAAATGAGGGGGAAATCAAACCAGTTGAACCCAATTTTAGAAATTACAAACCAATTTCAGAATTCAAACCAGTTGAACCCAATTCGAAAATGGATTAGGGCTAACTATTTTGGCCATCAAACCCTTAAAATTGAAGAAACAAACATGCTTTGAACCAAATCAATTTCAGAAATCAACGCAAAATTAAACTAAAAAAATATATCAAACCCTAGAGTATTGTGTGAGAAATGGGGAAATAGATTAAGCGAGAGAGAGAGAGAGAGACCGAGATCGAAAAAGAGGGATAGACACCCAGAGAGAGAGAGAGACCTGTGATTCGCCGCCAGTGGGGGAGGTGATTTGCGGCGGTGGCGGGGGTGCCATGCGACACTGGCGAGCGACAGTGGTGCACGACGGTGGTGATCGTCAGTGGTGAGCGGGGGTGAGGTTTGGTGTAGACTCTATTCTCTGTGTGTATGACACAAAACATAGAGCAAACTGTGTAAGTGTAGAGAGGAGACACAGGTGCCAAAATTAATTCGTTTGCCTCTTAAAAAAAAAATTCAAGCTTTAGTGACCAAAAAACATTTTGTAGCCAATAGATACCATTTTGCTACTATTTTTTTTTTGGTCGGCAAAGAGTTATTATATGATGATTAAATTTTTTTAGTCACCAAAACCTCATATTTGGCGACCAAATTATTTGGTCGGCAAAAAGAATTAAAAAAAAATTCGCTAACTGTTTAGCGACTAAACTTTATTTTGTCAGCAAATAATTATATTTTCCGACCAAATTAAATCTTTAGTAGCCCAAAGTTTAGACAATCGCTGACTAATAGCTTTTTAGTCGCCTATCAGTGAATATTTAGCGACTAAATATTTTCTTTAGTCGCCAATAAATAAGATATCTCAACTAAAATCATATAGTAGCTGAAACTTGAATCATCGCTAACTAATTTTATTTTTAGTCAGCAAAACTGTCTCTTTTGGCGACTAATTTTATTTTGGTCTCCAAATTTAGTCGCCAAATGTGTAAATTCTTGTAGTGAAAGCACCCCTGTAGGTCTAAGGACGCTTTAATTGAGAGTTGTTTTACTTGAGTTGATATCTTATGAGATAAGTTACTGACTTGATCATCAGAGTATCCCTAGGTGGACGAGCCACCACGGTATTTCTTACTCTCTTGTGCGCATGTGTTCGCTTAATCTATTCTGTCATGTGCTCTCCACCTAAGTTTCCTAGATCTCGATCAAGAGATATGTTTGGTTGTGAGGTTGGAAATCATCACCCACAAGAAGATATATATTGGAAGAGAATGATGGGCAATTTCACTATTTCAAGGATAAATTTCACACATTTATGATTTTTGTTTTCACCTTTTACTATAAAAATGTTTTTTCACAAATTTTAAAACATTCTCTGGGTTGGTTTGGGAAGTGGGTTGGCTTTTTGACTTTTTGACTTTTTTGACTATTTTAGCTTGGGCTAAAAAGCTTGGTTTGGGAAGGGCTTTTTGGTTTTTTTTTTTGTGAGAGAAGAGTGTAATGATTATGGGTTGGATGTGATGTTTTGTTTTTTGTGACTAAAATAGCCAAAAAAGCCCAATCTAGCTCTTCCTAAACGGAGTCGCTCTCTCTCTGTTTTTTTTTTTTTTTAATAAGATAGCGATTAATGCACATCAACATATTTTTATAAACTCAAACTTTAAAAATCTCACTTAACTTAATTCCTAAATATCCTTTCCCTGATCACTTAAACAATTGCCCATGGTCACTCGCTCACTTTTTCTCAAATAATTGCTAACCAAGGAAGTGAAAGGAAAAATGAAAGGTCATGTAAAGGCCTTAATGGGTGTCTCAAAAAATTTGTTAGAAGAATTGAAATCCACGGGAAATTTGTCACAACCCAAACCCGCCCCTACAGGTTTAGCATCGTAACCGGCCAGTAATCCTGGGATTACCGAAGGCCTCTGAGACAGATTGTCATAATATTAGGGGCTAGCGGAAACAAATAACAATATACAATGTCCATTGAGCTGTGCAGACTTATATGAGACAGAAAAATTTTAAACTTTTTATATACATATATACGCATCATCTTTAAGTCATTATATATATACAGATTAGACAAAAAGGGACTTAGCCCTATTTACGAAATACGCATGACTTGTTCAACCAAACACGAAAACAAAACTTAAAATTTAAATCACATGGCCATAATCACTTGACATATCCGGAACCTCCACGGGAGGAACATAGGTTGGCTGACAAAAACAGATTCTAGGCAGATGCCTCTAAGCCTGGTCGCGCGCCTGATCACCTACATACATAAATAATACAATGAGCTAGGGCCCAGTGAATAATAACAGAGTAAAGAGATTTTATGAATGATGTCCAGCACAAATTAGGATCCAGTAATTAAATCAGAACATATTCAGACTTCAAACAGAAATAGATTCAGATACACACTCATGTTCTTATTCTGACTTTGTATAAGATCATACGTGGTACACCCATTAGCTATCAGATTAATTTGGTCCAGAGACCCACATGCATAGTTGGTACCAATGACCATAAAGGTCCATATCTTGTGCGCAAGTAGCCATAGTATTGTTACCCCCAAGCAAGGGCCACGTGCAGATTGGTCGCGGTATTGTTACCCCAGGGCAAGGGCCACGTGAATTAAGGGTGCCACAAATACTTTTCAAAAAATTGGACATTCATTCATAATTCGTAAGATTCAGAAAACAGATCATACCATACCAGACAGAAAATACTGAAGTTAAACATAACTTTATAGAGTTATTACTCACAGATAGCCGCAGAAGCAAATCAGAGGGATTGGACATATCAGATAAATCAGGCAGACAATGGCGCGTGACCTACACAAACACATAACACATACACATTGAAATACAATATTACTCCCTTGATCAAACTTGACTTTTCTAGTCTTTTTCCATCTAAACAGTCCGAAGTTCTACTATGCTTATTCTTTCTTATTCAAATAAACCGGGTTCTTATTTCACATATTCTTTCATTACTAAGCCCTTCTTTTCCAAATAAATTGATCTTTTACTTGGCTTCTTAAACAATTACCACTAGATCAATTATTCATTCTTCACTAACTAATCTATGTTGATTGGTAGCTTATTAATCTTTATTGAGTCATAAATCATGTCTAGAATGCCTTGGAAAGAGATGATAATAAAAATGTGAACTAAATGCAACTTTCCAAAATATGCTGAAAATGGGTCCTCGCTCGAGCGCCACTTTGGCAGCTCGAGCGGGCTGTAAAATTTGAAAAACTTCTAGGAGCTCGATTTTCACGTTCGAGCGAGACTTTCCTCGCTCGAGTGAACAACACAAATTCTGAAATTCCAAAATTGCAATTTAAATTCAAATATGGTATTCAAAGTCTCAAAACATGTATTTCTGGTACACAAAAATGGAGAACCATAGTATGCGTTAGTAAGCACTTTCAATTAGAAAACATTCATCCAAAATCATGTTTTAATTGCCCAAATTTAGTTTTAATTCATCTTATTAATATCAACCCACAATTCTAAAATATAAATTAGACTTCCCAGCGTCTTGAAATTCCATGATGTATGTAATACAAATAGATCCCACCTTATTATTAATAACAAAATCAACTTAACTCAATTCTTGACCAAATACTTGATTTATAATCATGGGTGTTCTAAAATGTATCTAAATTGAATAAAATTCTTAAATTACATCACATGCATAGATTAAATAAAAAAAATCTAATTATAAAATCAAATGCATAGATTAAATAAAAAAAATCTAATTATAAAATCAAAACTTTAGGATCAATTCCAAATTTCCATAAACTTGATTTTCTTAAAACATTTCCTTTGTCTCTTCAAAATATGAACTTGAATGGCTCGATTCCTTTAAAATTCATGTATTACAGGAAAATACTACAAAATCAAATCAAATAATTAATTTTCCAAATTAATTTCCACAACTATGAGTCCACTCAATTCCTTACTTAAAACCTTATTTCTCACAAAATCCATGAGTCTAATTCCATAATTTTCTTAATTCATGATGCATGGAGGATTATCTAAAACATGAAATTAAAGTTATAAAACTCTTAGAAAATATTTGCATGTGCAAAATTTGGGTCAAAATTCAAACCAATTACATCCAAAATTCCTTTTATTCAATATTAAGTTCAAAATGTCAATGAATTCATAATTTCCCAAAACTTGCTCTCCTTATACCCAAACATGAAATTAATTCTCCAACTTTCTTAAAGATTTATTGATGCATGTAAAGATGAAGTCCAAATTCATGAGGAATAACACAAATTAAACTTACTTGATAAATTTTCCCAAACTCATTTCCTTAATCTCAAGCTTAACTCAATTTATTTTAACCTCAATTTAATTCATAGTCATAGATGTTCCAAAATATGTTTAATTTGAGTCAAACTCTTAGATTACATTACATGCATGGGTTAATAATTAAGATCAAAACCCATATTTATTCTTTAATTCTTCCAAATTACATGCATGTAGAAATAAGACCCAATTCATGCAAGATTACAAAAATTGAATGCAAAATAATTAATTTCTAAATTAATTTCCATAAATTGAACATAACTTCATTTATTCATCATCTTGCTAACTCCTATTTATATGAAATTGGATCCAAGTTAAACAAATATAAGAAATCATAATTCATATTCTTTATCCTAACTTGATTTCACATGCAAACCCAAATCTTAACAATTTGGGTGTGTTTGATAACGTTTACGTTTTCAGTTTATATTTACAAAAATTTTATAAACTGATTTTTGTTTATTTTTAGAAAAACATAAACTACAAACGCGTTTGGTAATTGACAAAATGTTTAAAAAATATAAAAAATATAAAAAAGAGTGAAAAATGGCAAGTGGTGGCGAAAGACAATGATGGAAAGTGGTGACGGTGGGTAGTAGGTAGCTGGTGGTGGGTAACGGTGGCAGGTGGGTGGGTGACCGTGGCGGTGTGGTGGGTGGTAGCGAGTGGGTGGTGGCGATGGCGGTGGCGGGTGGTGGTGGCAGGTGGGTGGCGGATGGCGGGTGGTGGCAGGTAGGTGGTGGTGGCGGGCAGGTGGCGGGTGGTGGTAGTAGATGGAGGTGGTGGCGGGTGGTAGTGGCGGAAGATGGTGGTGGCGAGTGGTGGCGGCGGAAGACGGTGGTGGAAAATGGTGGCAGGTGGCAGATGGTGGCAGCGGAAAAAGGTGGTGGAAAGTGGTGGCGAGTGGTGGCGGCAGAAGACGGTGGTGGGTGGTGGTAGCACAGGCTAGCGATGGCCGGATGGCGGGTAGGTAGCGGGTGGTGGTGGGTGGGTGGGTGACGGTGGCGGGGTAGGTGGTAACGAGTGGTGGTGGTAAGTAGTAGTGGTGGTAGGTGACGCGGTGGGTGATAGTGTCAGTGGTGGTGGTGGTGGTGGGTGGTGTGGGTTGGGTGGGTGACAGGTGGCTAGTGGTGGCAGGTGGTTGATGGTGGTGGCAAGTGGGTGGTGAGTGGTGATTGGCAAGTAGGTGGTGGGTGGTGGCGGGGGCGGTGGATGGTAGTGGCGGGTGCGTGGGTGGTAGTGGTGATGGTGGTGGTAGTAGTGGCAAGGGGTGGGTGGTGGTGGCAAGTGGGTGGCAAGTGGGTGGTGGTGGCGAGTGGTGGATGGTGGTGGCAGGTGGGTGGTGAGTGGTGGTGGCAGATAGTGGTGGGAAGTGGGTGGCGGGTAGTGGTGGCTGAAGACGGTGGTGGAAAATGGTGGCGGGTTGGTGGCTAGTGTTAGGTGGAAAAAAAAAAAAAAAAAACTGAAAACTCAAAATGGAAACACATTTTTTGTGTTTTCATTTTTTGCCCAAATTTATAAACTGAGACCACTGATTTATAAATTAAAAATTTTACCAAACAAGTTTTTATTTGAGTTTTTAAAATTTTTGTAAATATAAACAGAAAACTGAAAATACCAAACAGCACCTTTATAATTGACCTACAAAGCTTTATTTTTAATTCCCTCAAAATTCACCTTAAATCAATTTATATCTACATTATTTAAACAATAGTAGGCAGAGGATAAGATTTCTTACCTTAGGATGATTTTTCCACAATTTTTGACTTAAACCTTGGTATCCCACAAGGCTTTCTCCTTCCCCTTCTCTTCTTCTTCTTGGTCTCTCAGCCGTGCACTCTGTCTTTCTTTCTCTAATCTCAGCCGTGCTCTCTCTCTAATTTGTCTCCACCAGAAACAAAGCTTCTATGACTCCATTCTTCATCCTCTTATTTTATTATTTTATTTATCAATTTAGTGGGACACTTGTCCACATCATATGAATCCATGTTTCATTAGCGTAACGGACTAATCACACTTTAATTTAATTAAACATCAATTAGCCTTGATTAATCATAACTAATTACAATTCCTACATGATTTAATTAGTCTAACTCGACTTCCATAATACCCAATTAATTATATTTAAATTTATCCTTCTGAATCAGATTTTTAATCCACTCCTAAAAGGCTCCAAATATTAAATTAAATTTATTATCATTATCAATTTTGATTTTCCAAATTATTTAGGCCTTCAATTTTTGATCAGACTCAAATTTCTATCAATAAATTACATATTCAAATTGAACACATCATAATTAAATTTAATTTATAATAACCACAATTCTCAATCCTCATGACTTAATCAACTCCAATTAGGACCTAATTAATCGAATCTCAATTTTACTAAACTGAATCGAATATTTAATTAAACTCTCAAATGGGTCCGTAATTAAAATTAAATTGATTCAATTTCTCAATTTTACTTCCTTAAGCCATTTGAACCCTTAGTTTCTAATTTCGAAATAACTCTTTAATAGAATCATATATGAATCAGACCGGCCTTTAATTTCTATAAATCCCGAATTAAATTATAATATCCGATAATTAAATTTCAAATCTTCTTAACTAATCAAGTATTAATTATCATACGTGATGGGTCATTACACAATTGGCCATCAAGAGATAGCTAAATTACATCTACATATGGGTTGTACGTGTCCGCGTGTCTGACTACTCGAAAGTGTCTCCAATCACCCAACTACTTTTAGAGCGCATGTGACCATCAACACATTACCTTTTTTCCATTCTATTTTATTTCAATCTTATTTAATCCTCGTTTGGCATATATTAAATGGAAATTTTTTTAATTAAAATTGTCACAAAAAGATAAAATAATTTTTTTAGTTTAATAAGACATAATATTACATTAAAATTTTTTAATCTAATAAGATATAATGTCACAATAAAATTATAATCATTTCATTTTTTCTCTCACAAAAGTCAAAAAAATCTCTATTACTTGATGCTATGTTTATGTTTTTATAAAATTAAAATATTTTAAATTTTTTTTATTATTTAATATGTGAATCTATAGTCCTAAACTGATTCAATATATTTAAATGGATTGATTCGGATTGGTTTCACAATTTAAACGGATTAGATTGGTTTTAATTTTTCAGAAACCGTAGTTAATGGATTGGTCTTGATTTATCTCAATCCAAACCAATCCGAATCATGTCTACCCTAACTAATGTATAAGAAAAAGTTTTTTTTAAAAAAACAAAATTAATGTGAGATTCAAATAACTCATGCCCATTAGATGCGCGTGGTGGTAGATTTTTATTTATACGGTAAATTATAAATACATCCCTTCAAATTTGATTAAAATACGAATAATTTTGTGTGGTTTTAAAAATTACATTTCATCCCTGAGCTTTTTAATTTCATAACAAATCGTCCAATTATTAATAAATCATGAAATCAATCAACAATTTTTAATGATGTTAAAAATATATTTTAATAAATAATTTAGATAATTTTATTATTTTATAAGAGGGCAATTATTACTTTTATTTTTTTAATTAATTTTATTAAATAAAAAATTCTAATCAAAAAATATTTATAATTTTTCAAATCACAAATGATTATTTATATTTGAAGCAAACCTTTAAAAGTGTATTTGTAATTTATCTTTGTTTATATTTGGTCCCAATGAGTGGTCAAAAAGGGTGGCTGAATGTTCTAGAAGAAAGTCTACTAAAAAATATCCGGTAAATTATAAATATACCACTTGGTATTTATTTAAATTACAAATTACTCCTTGTGATTCTAGAAATTACATTATGCCCCTAAGGCATCTAATTTCAAAATAAATTATCAAATGAATTAACATTTTTTAATAATGTTAAATTTTAATTTTCATTAAAAATTTAGATAATTTTATTACTGTATAGGTGAACAGTTAGAAATTTTATTTTTTCAATTAATTTTGTTAAATAAAAAATTCTGAAAGAGGGGTATTTGTAATTTTTCAAACCACAAGGGACAATTTGTATTTTAAGCAAACTTCAGGAGTGTATTTGTAATTTACCCAAAAATATCTTACAGTCAGAATGACTGGAGGTAAAGCCAAACTTCTTCTTGTATTTGAATTTGTTTGGTTTGTATCTTAAGATATAATTTTTGAGAAAAATTTTTAAAATTTTGTTTGGTTTAAATTTTTTGAATTTTTTTTTTTTCAAAATCACTTTCTCTCTCCTACACATCAATCAATCACTTTTTTTTTCTCTCTCATCTCTGATTCTCAATTATTTCTTCTCTCACACACATCTACACAACTACAACAAAATATCAAATCTTCCCAAACTTTCAAACTACAAAACCATTTTCAAAATAACCAAACAAACAAAAAAAATTTCTAAACTCTCCAAAAGAAATTTTTTGAAAATTTATCTCCAAACACACTTGTCTCCTCCACTCTTATATCGATTTTTTATAAATTTATTTTTTTAATTGTTGATCAAAATTATATTTTTTAAAACATAATTTCAAAATAATTTCAATTAAAAATTGATATGTATTTGATAAATAACTTATGTTTATATTGATATGGGTTAGTTCTTACTAGATTATAACTAATTGTGGTATTACTTATCACTCATTATAATTTTTTATGATTATTATTTTGATTATAATTTTTAAAAAAAATATTTATATTTTATGTGGTGTTTAATTATTACTCATTATTATTTTTTAGTTATGATTAAAAATAATTTAATTATAATATTTGTGATAATCAATACTATTATAATTAGCATACATTACACAACCTTTTAAAATATAAATAATGATTTTTTTGATCATAACCCTTTAACAGTGTATTATAGCGTGATCCTAGGTCCATATCAATTTATAATGAGTTGGGTTTTTCTAGCTAGTTGCCTTTGCATGTTCCTAAAAGTATCTCTTTTTTTTATTATTATCTATTTTCTTCCCATTTGTTGCACTTTCTACTACTTTTTGAAATGGAAAGAAATGAAGTTTTGTTTGTTCTCTCGCCAAGAAAAGAGTTTCTTAACTAGTAAGGAAAACACAAAAATAACTAGGAAGAGCTTATTGTTGATCTAGAAATAAAAATAAAACACACTACGGGATTGTTTGGTATGTGACTTTTCAGTTTTAAAAAATAATATTTAAATATATTTTTTAGATTTATTTTTTAGACTCAGTGATGTGTCAATAAGATGAGTAGTTGATGATTAGAGAATAATTGAGAAAAAGATTTGACTTAGATGTTTTAATAAAGTGACATATCATTGGGTCTAAAAAGTAAGTTTAATTTTTGAACCTGAATAACAATGCTCTTTGATTAAAATAGTCAAAAAATCAAAACATCCAATTATATCACTCTCTCTATGTTTTGTACATAATTTCATAAAAAATAAAAAATAAAAAACCAACTAAAATAACCAATTCCCAAACGAGCTCTAAATTATGCAATTGTCCTTTGAAAAATATCAATTTTATCATTATTATGAAATAAATTTTAGCATTTTAACCCTATTAAAAGTTATATTTTTATTTCCCCTTCCGTCAAAACCTAGTCATTTTTACTTTTGCTTCCAATTTTTTTGAAAATCTCATTATTTCCATGCAATTTTAAGTGTTTTAAAATAAATTAATATTTTTACACTTAAAATTTGTTAGGTTTTTATAATTAGCAATCTCGTTTGATAAAATTCTTTTCAGTTATAATTTTATTCACTCTTTTATTTCAGTTGAATCCAACCTGAATTGTGCCTATGTGGAGGAGTTTGTAATCTTGAGTTGTTCATGTTTGCCACTTCGCTAACTGTGTACAAGGATCGAGTAGTAATTAGTGCACTCGAGCAGTGAATAGGAGCATGCAATTAAATTGTTTGACTGCTCAAGCGGTAATTTGTGCACTCGAGCAACGAATAGGAGCATCTAGTATCTCTGCTTGCAAACTAAACTTCTAGAAAGCAAGTTTTATCGTTCAAGTAGTGAATGTTGCGCTCGAGCGGTCGGCCTATATGTTTTACGCCGATTTTACTCACACCGCTCAAGCGGTGATGTAACGCACCGACCCTTCACACGTCATCGATATTGTCCGCTTTGGGCCACGCCCGCACGGATTTGTTCTTCCCAGTGGGTCACCCATCCCAGAACTACTCTAGCCTAAGCACGCTTAATTGTGGAGTTCTGTTAGGGATTTCACCACCCAAGAAAAGTCCTCGATGCTATATAAGGGTACAAGTTTTTACTTTTATAGCCCAAATGGTATCAGAGCCGACTCTCCGGAGTACCGAGTGTGGGCCCCTAGCGTCTCTCGGTGCATGTGGGTGGGCTTGCGGGCTTGCGAGCTGGCAGGCTACTGCACGGGGACGTGCAGCCTTATGGGGGGTGGATTGTAAGGCCCCGGTGTCCCACATCGGGAATGGAGAGGGAGTTCTTGGGCTATAAAAGTAAAAACCTATACCCTTATATAGCATCGAGGCCTTTTCTCGGGTGGTGAAATCCCTAACAGAACTCCACAGTTAAGCGTGCTTAGGCTGGAGTAGTTCTGGGATGGGTGACCCACTGGGAAGAACAAATCCATGCGGGCGTGGCCCAAAGCGGACAATATCGATGACGTGTGAAGGGTCGGGGTGTTACAGGTGAAGTGTGCACTTGAGCAGTCTTTGCAAATCTATTTATTATAAAGTGCGCTGTTTGTTATTTTTAGGGTTTAAGCAATCCAAATTCTAATAAGAGAGTAGAGCTACCAAGGTTTTCTATATTAAAGGTTATTTTTATAAGTATTTTCTTGATGATTTGAGAGTGATCAATGAATCTACGAGCTTTATATTAACTTCATCAAGGAGTTGTTTTTACAGTTATGTTTACAAAAAGAAAGGTGTT